GCCTTTTGTCGACCATCCCAGGGTGACATAATAAATACTATCTTTCTGTCGATAGCGACAATCGTCGATAGTACGTATTATCTGTTCATTAAACAAATGTTATAATATTAAAACATTTTTTGTTTAACTTTCAACTGGTTTTTTTTATTTTTATACAAGAATAATATCGAATTAACTTTATTCCACCCATACCTACCTATAACAACATGTTTATAATTTATATATCTATCGGAGCGTTTAAAAGGCTTAGTAAAATAAGATAAATAATGGATTCTTAAACTTTAATGGATTAGTAATAGATAAATATATTGCTTTTAACTACCTATATATTATAATATTATAATTATTTTTAACAAAATTTAGTCTGTATCTTACAGCAACAGTTTTTACGTCTAAATGAAACTCTTAAAACTTATATTTGACAAATTAGATTTTTATATATTATACTTGTATTTGTTTATTTTCTTAAGTGTTGTGACTTTTACTGTTAAAATGTTACTTTATACAAAAACTATTGGCTATGTGTCGTGTGTTATTTGATTTTCCACGCCAAAAGTGACACATATGTCATTCGTATACTCAATACTGTATAGTAAATAGAAATAAATAGTGTTCAGTAACATAATATGAAAAATTATCTCTAAGCATAAAGCTGATTATCATTTTAAATTATATGAAAAGTCTTTTATATAAATGTATTGTTGGTTAAAGTGCTAACTCTGGAATATTATTTATCATATAAAATGTGTGTGTCGTTTTGCAATAGTTTAATATTACATTATTATCATCGATTTTGGAATATATTATTATATACATTCTAAAATCAATGATATTATTAATAAGTACGATAACTTATAAATAATAGTACAATGATTTAATTTTTTTGGAAATTAATTATATCAAGATTTTTTTATTATATTATATAATAATAATATAATTTATAATACCTACTGTATAGTATAATATGTCCCGCGAGGATTTACCGATTGCGATATCTTCCGAAAGGATGGAGATATCAAAATTCTGATTTTGTAATAAGACACACAGGAATAAGAACTACAATTATTTCATATTTTTATATTTTGGTAAAAAAGTTAAAAAATATATTTTCTTATTTAATTATTTCAAAAAAAATCACTATAACGATTTTGTAGAGTTTATTTTTATGAAAATATTGATGATTCAAAATTTTGTTTTCGTTAATTTGCTGATTTTTAATTTTTTTTTTAGTTTCTAGAAAAATTGCGAATTATTTAACACCGTAGTATTATCAAACATGTAAAACACTGCGCCGCGTGCGTGCTCTACGGCCGGCCGACCGATTTCAGTGCCAAATGATAATCATATTTTATTTCTTAAAAACTAGAAAAAAAATACTAAAAATCAGGAAATTAATAAAAACAAAATTTTGAAATGTCAATATTTTAAAAAAAAATAAACTCTACAAAATGGTTATCTTTAATTTTTTGAAAATGATCTAATAAATAAAAATATATTTTTTAAATTTTTCACCAAAACATTGAAATAAATTAAAAAATTAAATAATTGTAGTTCATATTTCTGTGAGGCTAATCACAAAACCAGAATTTTGATATCTCCATTATTTCGTGAGATATCGTAATGGGTGAATTCTCAAGGATACCCTGTATTGTACATTAAAAACATTAGTAAAATGTGAGAATAAAAATAATATGCTATTGAATTTAAGAAAAAAATTATTTTAAAATAATACAACGAAACATATGTTACAAGACACTTCCCAATAGTGGATATACTAACATTGTAATATTTTAAATTCCACAACAGACTCGTATAATACAGAGTCCGTCAGAACAAACGCATGTTTTTCAAAATGATGTTATGCTCAAAGTAATTTCAGTAAAAAATGTTTTATTATATAAAAAAATGCATACGCATATGCAGTTTATTCTTATGTAACTAAATTTAGGTTTTGAAAATAATGTCAGGCATTTGGCGCCCTTGAACCACTAAGTAGGGTTGTTGACACTTGCAAAACGATCCTATCGTGTCAATCAGCATCTGTCTCGAAATTTTTCTCACCAATTGAGTGATCTCGTCTTTCAATTCATCAAGGGTTCGTGGTTTGTATTGGTAGACTTTTGATTTTATGTGACCCCACCAAAAAAAAATTGCATATTCTCAAGTCAAGGGAGCAAGGAGGCCACGGAATGTCCTCAAAACGCGAAATGAGCCATATGTATGACATTATTTTCAAAACCTAAATTTTGTTACATATAAAAAAACTGCATATGCGTCTGCATTTTTTGATATAATAAAACATTTTTTACTGAAATTACTTTGAGCGTAGCATTATTTTGAAAAACATGCGTTTGTTCTGACGGACCCTGTATATGCGCAAAACGAGTTGTAGCCCGGAAACATGGACCATTGGGCTTACATAGTGAAAATGTTTTACATATATTGTATAATAAATCTGAGTGTTAACTAAATTTTGGTTTGAAGATTGGCGACTTTAATGAATTGGATGATGTTGGCTTTAGATTGAGGGTGATTGTTTAGTATTTCAGGCAGGTATTGTTGCTTGTTCGGATATTGTGGTATGTTCGACATTCAGTAAGAATAAGTTATATTTATTAATTTATTATTATTGTTATTTGTTGTATCAGATTCTGAACGAAGTGATGAATGTATTGATTTTACAATGATGTGTGTGTGTTGTTTTTTTTGTGTGTCTGTGTGCAGCATAACTAGTCAAAATAATGCTTCAATTTCAAACTTTGGGGGTGGTTTCCGATGTAA